ATATTTAATTAATAAATTTAAGTATTTTTCTACAATATTAAAGATGAATAGAGGCTATGAATGCTTAGGCATTGATTTATCTCATAAAAGGCTAAAACACACACAAATGAAGACTTAATTTATTTTTTGGATCAATATTTTGTAGTTATAGTCACAAATTTTAAGGATGAAGACTATGTACGTAAGAAAATTAATTAAATTTTTATCAAATTTAATCAGAGATTGTATAACAATCTCTCTGATGAATGAAATATATAAAAAAAACAATAGAAATTAAGTTATATTTAGAAATCTCATTAAATATTTATACAATGAATCCGTGTTTGAAAAAAGATAAAAAAAATTAATACTAACGGAGTCTTCATTTTTGTTGGACTTTTGATTGGAGTTGTTTTGAGCAATATTTCTATTTTTATCCAGCTGATAGTAGACGCCGGCAAATATAAGCATATTTAGTATGAGTAGTGAGCACCCGATGCCTATCGTGATGGTCAGTGCGGTCGAGTAGTTCTCATTCTGCAGTATCACTGACGTTGTGGTCGTGTTGTTAATGTTTTTGGCCGGAAATGCCGTCGGATGGTTGATATCCGTGATGGACGTCGTGGTCAGTTCGACCACTTCGGTGGTGATGATCGTGGAGGACATGTGATGGACTAACTCGGTGGTGGCGCTGATCACGATATTCTGGGACACAGTGGGCAGTGGTGCCAGAAATTTGTACGCTATTTGCCTGACGACGCCGTCATAAGTGGACAGATCCTCGTGATCTGTGAGCAAATGGTGGCGAAGGTAGACCTGCTCTTCGCCCGGATTATGGAGACGAGGGATAAGGTTGAGCCAAAACGACAGCCGATGGCTGTGGTAGTGGTCGCGTACTTTAGGCTTAAGACCTGATTATTGGCACAAAAATTGAAAATAATTCGTTTGAGTTTAGCCTTCGAGTCATATATTGGTTTGATTTTGTGAACAAATAAAAGGAATTTTACGAACGATTGGACTCTACTGTAAATCTTATTAAATGAAAAAACAAGATATCTTTTGAAAGACTCTCTCTCTCTCTCTCTCTCTCTCTCTCTCTCTCTGAAATGATTTCTTTAGATTTTGCTATCGGTTTCATATAAGACTTGATAAGAATATATCAAAAACTGTAAACGAAAGTTGATTTAAAAAATAAAATACTCCTTAAGAAAGACAGAAAGAAAGAAGAGAAAGAGGAAGAGAGAGAGAGAGAGAGAGAGAGAGATGTCATAATGACTATCGATGTATTGATTACCTAAAGTTACATATTTTCGTTGGATGGGGTCATATGTGGGCCATACGACTGACTCGTAACCTATTTTTGAATTTGAAGACTCTTTGCTTTCACTGTCAAATCGATCGCTTCGTTGTAATGAATCGCTATTTTCGGGCCAAACGTTGGGATCACTTGAAAGACGAGCAAATGTAAGACATTTCTATACAGTATAACAACATTAGAGTTTGAAAGCAAAACAAATCAAATACGGAAAACAAATACTAAAAGAAATAAAGGATTGTATGGCATAATAGAGAGAATAGACATTATTTCGATTATAGACTATACTATTGATATTAAAAACAAAATAATCGATTCGTATCTGAGATCGACTTTACATAACATATACAAAGGAGAAGTGAATTTAGACGAGAAACTAGAAATAATGTAAAATAATTTCTAAGTTTACTCTTAAATTGTATGTAGTTTTTCATTACATGTGCTATTCTTTTGAATTCAATACCAATTCCTTAGAGTCGCGAAGAATGCGAAAACACTTTTTAAGTTAAACATAGTTTTTAACGAACAACTCGTTTAATAGACTAAGAAATGGAAGAAAAGGTTGACTGAGACTGAGAAGGGAAATGTAGGGCCAAAGTGACTAAACACTGGCACATGAATTAAGATCTCGGAGATTGTGATTCGCTTTTAATTAATCGACAAAAAACGCTAAAAACAAGTCTAACGTCGAAACCTATTAATTATATATACATTTGTCTTCGCCGTGCGATTCATTCGCACAACAGATTCATGACTGGAGACAGGAATTCAAATAATGATTAAAACATCTTTTGTACAAAACTCTGCGATCAATCATATAATCATTTAATCCAAAAGAAAATTTTAAAGAAAAGAAAAACAAAAGAAATGTTTTGTATTTAGTTATTAAATTAAGCGAAGCGCCGATGCCTTACGGGCGCTTCGGTGAGGGGGGGAAGGGAGCAAAGGTTTTATAAATAATAAAGTGCATGCTTTTGAAGTGGTGGTGGGGAACGGTAGTGAAGGAATGTTGATTTACCCGAATTTAGCGAAATTAATCCAATAAGTCATTAAAGCTTCCGAAAGAGTGACTTCAGCTCTACTATAATTAGTAGCGAAATGTGTCATTGATTTTCCCAATAAGTGATAGGAAAGGGGGGCACCAAATATATACGACAGCTCCTCGCTATGGGAACAGCTCTGCTTCACATTCAACTTGTTTGCCACCGACTCCTCGTTCTGTAATTAATTGAATGCAACTATAAATATGAGCCCATATTGTGTGCGCCCATCATATCATGGATACAGTGGTCGTATTATATATCGAAACGATTTTCTTTGCGAAACAATTTATATGACTTATGAAAAACAAAATCTCCAGCTTTAGATATAAGGAGCAATAATAGCAGTGGGAGAGAGAGAGAGAGAGTGAGTGAGTGAGAGAATTAAGAGCTTTAAAAGTGGAAAAATATAATAATAATCACAAACTACTAGAACTACTAGTCTGTATGGGTGTAGTATATCGCCAGACTAATCTCAAATTGATTTTCAAACACTTTTCTAACAGTTTTTTTTCACTCGCCTATGAATGCGATTGTATTTTAGATTTTTCTCTTTTCTATAGCTTTTACACCAACTCTCTCTCTCTCTCTCTCTCTCTCTCTCTCCGAAAACAAATTTTTGTTCAAAACTTATTGAATGCAATTTCAATCTGAAAGCAAAGCCTTTGAATGATATATTTGATACATAATTGGATTCCTACGAAAAACATTTGGAAATTGATTTGCCTTTCAGTAGATGTTTGTCAGTTATATTGAAAGAGATGGAGAAAGAGATATATATTTTACATTAAATTAGAAACGAGTAAATTTTTTGTTAAAATACACAATCTTCTCGATATATTATTTCGACTCAAAACATAAACATTGAGACTTAAGAAAGAAAATCTATTTTTCTTTGTTTTGCCAAACGATTGACAAAAAAATAAGAGAAAAAATCTTAAA